AAATAAAAATTCATCTTACTCAACTATTTTTTATAAAGTAAATTTTTTAAGAGACTAAAACATCCAAGTCTATTTGAAAATTTTGAGATGAAATATTTTTCTTTCATTCTACGTTAGCGTAGAATAAGATAATTTATAATTTTAATAAATAAATTATAACTATACTTTATTTTACATTATTAAGAGCATTTTTGTAATATCACTAGCTAAATGATATCTGAACAGTGCTTCTTCACAAAATGGTCATAATAAGAAAAGTACATGTAATTTGTCTTTACATGTAATTTCTGCGTAGACTAACAATTTCAAGTCTTTGCACTTATTTCACGATTCATATTCAAAGCGATTGTCTAATCTTCGGACTTATCTAAAGGGTTAGAAAAAGATATATATAACAACCATATCTTTCCATGATAAATCATTAAAAAATTATTATTTTAAAACTACCAATTCATTTTATATTAGAATATAAGTATGATAAATTTTAAAAGCTATAATATCACATACAATTAATATATGACGTATAAAGTTAATATTAATTTACTATATGTTATATTATGTCCAAGTACTTATCCAATACATAATATTTTAATCAAAATATAGTTCATATAATACATGTATGAATGAAAATAAATTTGTCAGATTGAAATAAAATTTTTATATTTTTTTATTTATATATTTTTTAATTATTTTTACCTTTTTATTTAAGAAAGTAAAATAAATAATTTAAATGTTATTACAAATTTACCTAACTAATATTACAATTTATTTTAAATCGCATGTAGTTTAAAATAAAGGAAACCGTGAGAAAATGGTTCAGTACACCAGCACATGAGCTGAATTTTGACGCCAGTTGATTCGATTTAACCCTTCTGTTTGATGTGATTCAACTGCTAAACTTTCTAGCCCGCAAAATGGGCAGTCAATAAGTCATATAAATTATCATAGCTAGACTTTATCGTTCTTACTGTTTTCATGGAATGTTCAAAGTCATCCTGATATTAAAAGGTTAAATATTTCAATATTTTTTTATATAAATTCATGAAAATAAAAATAAAAAGATAAATTTTTATCTACATTTTACTTTTAGTCAATTTTATTTTATATCAGCAACATCTTAACTAGTTGTTTCCTTAAAATATAGTATACATTGTTCCTTAAAATGGATATAAATTTTTTTTACAATTTTGACGAATTGCATCTTACCACATATTTTTGTTTGAACAAATGTAGATTTGTTGAAGTATGAACGGAGTCCCTTCCGCTCTCCTCCAGTCCCCAGCGCTCCCGTTCTCCCTTCCAAGCAAATTTTTTTACTTTAAGGAAAAATCACTTTTTTTCTACTTTACTCAAACAAATCTAGATTCGTTTAAGAAAAAAAAATACTATTACAGGCTGCAAATTGTATTAAAACTGCATAAAATCTATATCCTTCTTAAATTCAATTAGATTCCAAGAACACAAAAAGAAGATGCATCAAAGAAAAGTACAAACACTTCTTGTGCTCAAACGAGACTTCTAGACGAGATAAAAATAATGGAAATAAGAAATGATAATAATAAATACTCTAATATAATTTTTTAATATAGTTTAGTTTTTAATTAAAATTTATAAAAATTATAAAAGTTATGCAATTCTTACTCTTCTCTTTTATAATTATATATTTTTAATAAATTTGAAGTAATAATTAAGAGTATGTTAAAGAATATATTTTTAACCCTTTTGACATTGTTTATTGTTGTAAATGAGATACCCAGACAACTGTATAGAAAAAAGAATATGGTAGAAAATCGGTGCGATCAGCTTAAGTAAAAAATGAAGAGTCGTATCAAAGTTGATCAAAGAAATATTGAAAAAAACTTTAAATAAAAAAATAATATTTGAAACTAAAATTATATTTGGAAGTCATTTATGCTAAGAAAGATATTACTACATTATAATATCTATTGAATAAAATAATTAACTTTTAATTAAGTGTATAAAATTATTTTAACTTTAAAAATTTATTTCATTTTAAAAAAATTAATTTATATTTTTTGTTATTGTAAATTTATTATTATCTTTTTAGTTTTATTTTTGTTCCTATTAAGGATACAATAGTCTTCAATGATCTCTTCTTCTGTCTTACAGCGTGACATCTCGCTAATATTTTATATTCTTCTTTATATGACGTGGGGAGGGTACCTGCAAAAAGCATTTCGATGATAAAGTCAAGTGTCGATTTAAATAATAAATGTTATTTACTATTTAAAAGTCAATCTTTCACCTGTACCTTTTACCTTCATTTTATAAGCAAGATATTGGGTTAATGGACTTTATCACTTAATCCTATCTACTGAAGAGGTATTCAAATTCATTTTTCTGTCATAATAGTCAAGTAATGCCTCCTCCAGTACAATTTCTAATTTTTATAATTTACAAGAGATTTTAGTTTTTGTTATATTTTTTAAATAAATAAACATAATTTTAGAAAGAAAATATATTTTTTAATTTAAATTAAAACAGTGAATCATTTATAATTTTTTTTGTTTGTGGATAAAAGAAATAATTTTTTAAAATTAAAAAAAAATTAATTTTTTCTTATTTTTGACTATTAATTATAAATTTAATTTTGCATAGGACTTAAAAGTGGATCTACCACTCTTTCAACATTACTTGTCGTCACGTGAATCTAAAATTATTTTAAAAAAAATTAATTTTACTTTTTTTATTTTTAATTACTATGTATAAACTTATTTTTGTATAGAGTTCAAGTTAACACATAATTACTTAATAAACTCTTATTATCCAAAAGACTTTAAAGATAGATTCACTATTTTATCAACATTACTTATTCGTTGCATGAATTTAAAATTTAAACAAATTGTATAATTTTTTATTTCTCAAAATTTTTATTTTATTATTTTTTTATGTATAATAAAAATTATTGTTGATAACTAAACTTACGTGACAGTGACAGTGATAATAATAATAATAATAATAATAATATAAATACACACAACTTTATGGTTTATCATAAAATTTAATTTTTATTATTTTTTATTTTATTGGTTCATAAATAAAAAAAACAAAGAAAGAAAGAAAAACTATTATCCTAAAAATGCTTTTAACTTATCACAAAGATTTAATTTATATTATTATTTAATTTACTGCATTAGTTCAAAAAATAATAAAAAATAAATAAAAATTTAATTAAAAGAATTGTTTAATCACAATTTTTTTTTATTTCAATGCTTCAAAAAACAAAGAATTAATAAAAAAAATATCATTAAAACTTTGTTTTTCAACTATTTTAATTTTTATTTCATTGATTCATAAAAAGAACTAATAATAAAAAATAAAAATATTCCTAAAATATAATTTCTTTGTTACTTACGTCATAATATTTGAATTTTATTCTACGAATTTATAAAAGAAAAAAATTTCATTACAAACAAAAATAAAAATCCTTTTGTTGTTTCTTTGAGTTTTTATTATCTTTTATATTATTGATTTACCATCAAAGATAAAATAATGAAAGACTAAAAGTAGGAAAAAAATAAAAGCAGAAAATAAAAAACAAGGAAAATAGCTGGTATACATGATTAATATAGAAAAAAAAAAACGAGTAAAAGGTAAGAATTATAATAATATTAAAATAAAATTAAATAGGTACTTTTAAATCCTGCAAGACAAAATTTTGTAAACAAAATGTTAAAGTTAATGATAAAGAAAATAATTATAACAATACCATTATTTTATTGTTTTATTCATAATCTACATAATATAATATAATGTGAAATGGAAACAATTTACTTTTTAGATTGAGAGGAAAGATTGTATAGATGATATAAGTAACATATAAGTATTAAAATAAAAGAGAATAACTTAAAAATAATATTCTTCTTAAATTAATTTTTAATTATAAATATTTTAAATTAAAAAAGAAAAAAAAATTACAATATAAATAATAAATTGAAAATGTACTATAATTTCTTTTAAAATCATATAATAGATCATACTTTTTTCTTATTTTAAGTAGCAATATAACAAAGAACAGACTAATTATAATGAATAAAATGAGATTCAGAAGAATGAACAATTTTAGTAAAAAAAATTTTTAATTATGTAAAATTGTAAAAAAATATGAATAATGTTTTTATGTTTTGTTGAGATAATTAATTGTCTTATTATCTATACTGTTATTAATTTTTATTATATGCTTATATATTATTACCTCAACGTTATATTTTATCATAAAAAAATGTTTAAATTTTATACACGATTCATAAAAATTGATATCAATTTAATTTTTTAAATTATTTTAGTTTAAATATTAAAATTAATTTAGAAATATAATGAAATATAATAATATTTTAAATTTTAAATAACATAAAAAAAAATACAATGATGCATCACCAATAGACATGATTGTTATCTTCTATGTTTTCTGACCATTTTAGTAGGTTGGAAAAATTAAGTATCCACTCGAATTTGAAAAGTAAAAAACGTGTAAAGACTTTAATAAAGCAAAATAGCACTTAATGTTTATTTATTTTATTTCGGCACATACTTTCTTCAATATAATGTCTTTTTCTTTTAACAGAATGTTAGAGAGCGATGAAAAAAAGAAACAACTCTAATTATCTAGTGTATGGATTTTATTGTATTTTAATTTTAAAAATCTACTCTTGTAAAACTTTCTTGTTTCCTAGTCTTTGAACAATAATTAACTTATTCATTTGGCCACCCAATCAACTGTATAAATACTGTTGTCGATCTTTCTTGCTTCCAAAATAAAAGAGAAACTTGAACAGAGTTTCCTATCTTGGTTTTATTATTATTCAACGTTGTTTCACAGCTGCAAAATTACAATGAGTAGTTGTATTCTCAAATTATGTTATGCACTGTTGCTGCTTCTGTTACAAGCTGCAGGATCCATGAATGCATAAATAAAGTGCATAGAGAGTGAGAGACAAGCACTCCTCAACTTCAAACATAGCATCTCACATGATTTTGGTATGCTATCTACATGGAGCGACGATGACAGTAATCGTGATTGTTGCAGATGGAAAGGCATTCAGTGCCACAATGAAACTGGTCATGCACACATGCTTGATCTCCGTGGTCAGCATACACAATATTTGCCTGGTGCATTCAACATCACTTCATTGGTTCACTTGCAAAAAATGGAGTATTTGGATCTCAGCTATAATGATTTTCAATCGAGTCACATTCCAGAACTTATTGGCTCGTTTACCTACTTAAGATATCTCAGTATCTCATATTCGTATTTTGCTGGGAGAATCCCTTGTGAACTAGGAAAGCTTGCACATTTACAATATATGGGTTTAAGGTGCAATTATCTCTATGGAGAAATCCCTTATCAACTTGGAAATCTGTCACGGTTGAAGTATCTTGATCTTGGGAGAAATTCACTTTCAGGAGCAATCCCTTTTCAGGTTGGGAATCTTCCTAACTTGCACACTCTAAGGCTTGGTGGCAATTTTGATGTTGAATCTAAGGATGCAGAGTGGTTGTCTAATCTCCATTCCTTAACAATTATTGAGTTGAGTTCATTAGGTAATCTTGGCTCCTCTCATCACTGGCTACAAACGATTGGCAACCTTATCCCAAACTTAACAGAATTAAGGTTAGTTGACTGCACTCTTTCAAACACTGACATTCAATCTTTGTTTTATTCTCATTCCAAGTTTTCCACTTCTCTTACCATCCTTGATCTCTCTTCCAATATGCTGACATCCTCGTCGCTTCAACTCTTGTCCAACTTCAGCCATAATCTCCAGGAGCTTTATCTTTCTCGTAATAACATTGTTTTGTCATCTCCTCTCTTTCCAAACTTTCCTTCTCTGGTGATCCTTTACCTTCCATATAATAATATTACATCAGTTGTATTTCAAGGTATCTTCAAATTCAGCCCAAAACTTGAAAGTTTATATTTCCGAAATTGCAGTCTTTCCGATGAAAGTTTTCTGATGTCATATGCTTCCACCATGAATTCATCATCTTCTCTTGTCACTGTTGATCTCTCCTCAAACCTGTTGAAATCTGCCTCTGTATTTTACTGGCTCTTTAACTTCACCACCAATCTTCGTTCCCTTTCCCTTAGTGATAACCTGTTAGAAAATCCCATCCGTGGTGAATTTGGGAAAGCATTCAACTCTCTTGAAGATCTTGACCTCTCCCGCAACAACATACGAGGCCAGATTCCATCTTTCTTTGGGAACATATCCACGTTGCAGACGCTAGACCTGTCATACAACAAGTTGAGCGGGGAAATTCCTAGTTTCATTCAAAACTCTTCATGGTGAAACAAACACATATTCAATGGTTTGTATTTAAGGTATAATCGGATTACTGGCGTGATACCTAAAAGCATCAGGTTGCTATCTGAATTGAAGTATCTTTCTTTGGGCGGGAATTCTTTGGAGGGCGATGTCGCCGAATCACATCTCAGTAACTTTTCCAAATTAAAAGGTTTGTCCTAATCGTTCAACTCGGTATCTTTAAAGCTCTCTAGCTGGGTTCCTCCTTTACAGTTAAGTTTCTTGTACGTAGCATCATGCAAATTAGGTCCAACTTTTCCTGGTTGGCTTCGAACCCAAAGTTCGTTGATTGAGCTTGATATTTCTAGCAATGGGCTTAACGGTTTCGTACCAGAATGGTTTTGGAACAACTTGCAGTATATTAATATGTCATACAACAATCTCACAGGTGCGATTCCGAATTTCCCACTAAAGCTTCCTCCGAGACCATTTATAATCTGAAATCAAATCAATTTGAGGGCAAAGTTCCGTCATTTTAACTACAAGCTTCCGAGTTGATACTTTCCGAAAATAAATTTTCGGAATTGTTTTCATTCTTGTGTGACCGAAGAACAGCTGCAAACTTGGCCACTTTAGATTTATCTATTAGAAATTGATACAAATTTCTAGAATAGTCTAAAAAAAATACTAAGAACAATATAAAAAAAACTAATTGTATCTTCTAGTACGTAGATGCTTCTAGAGAAAGTTCTAGAATATTGTAAATCTTTAAGTTTCTAGATAACTCAAGTATATTGAACCAAATGGTAGATGATGCCTATAAATAGGCATGCTACCTCATTATAAAAGATATGAAAAAAAAGTAATCAAGACATCAATTCTCCATCTCTTGAGTCTCTTACTAAAACTTCTTCAACTACTATTTTTAACTATTCCTACTAACACATTTCAACTATCTTACTCATCTCACCCACACTAAAAACTATTATCATCGAACAATCAGATAAAGGGAGAACTTCTAGATTGTTGGGAATCTGTACGCTCATTATTGTTTCTTGATTTAAGCAACAATGAAGTGTTAGGGAAGATTCTTAGGTCCATGGGCACCCTTGTTCACTTGGAAGCCTTGGTTTTACTTTGAAGAATTGCGGCAACTTAGTAATGATGGATGTGGGTGAAAATATGTTGTCCGGTCCAATACCATCATGGATTGGAGAAAGTTTGCTGCAATTGATAATCTTGAGCTTGGGAGGGATCACTTCCTTGGAAATATTCCTATTCAACTTTGTAATTTGAGGCGTATTCAAATGTTGGATCTTTCGAGAAACAAATTATCAGCAGCAATTCCAACATGCTTAAAGAATTTCACTGCAATGTCGGAAAAGAGCATCAACAAGAGTGAAACTCAAAGTCATGTATATTGGTTCAATAATACTTACTATGAAATTTATGACCTTTACTATAAACTTTATATAACATAGCATAGATCTCTCGTGTAATAATTTAACCGGTGAAATACCAAAAGAGATTGAATATTTGGTCGGATTAGTTTCTTTGAATTTATCAACAAACAATTTGTGTGGAGAAAAATTCCTTCTGGGATTGGAAATCTAGGTTCGCCAGAATCCCTTGACTTATCAAGAAATCATTTATCTGGGAGAATTCCTTCTCTTTCTCAAATTGACAGTCTAGGAAGATTAAACTTGTCACACAACTCTCTTTCTGGAAGAATCCCATCAGGACGACATATGCAAACCTTTGTTGCATCCAATTTTGAAGGAAATATTGATCTTTGTGGTGAAAAAACAAAGGTTGTCTGGAGATTTGACAATAGTAAAGCCGAAAGGAGCAACAAACTCTAGTGAAGATTCTACTTTCTATGAAGGATTATACCTGAGCTTGGGGCTTGATTCTTTGTAAGCTTTTGGGGCCTATTGGGGCCAATACTCCTTTGGCAACCTTGGAGAAATGCTTATTTGAGGTTCTTGAACACATTGATAGACTATATATATGTAATGATTGTAGTGAATGTGGAAAAGTGGCACAATTGACTTGAAGATTGATAGGTACATTCTAGCTTCTTTATTTCGAAATCATACTTTCTTCTTATGCTGTTACAATCATACTTTTTTCTTATGTTGTAGTTACATCAATCAATAATTAATTCTCATGCAAAAAAGGTTAAGTTGTATTTTAAGGATATGGATCCTCTGCTGTTTTGGAGAGAACTAGCAGTTTAAATTTGCTTAAGCGAAATAAAATTTTGGATAATAGACATATTATTAATATTAAATATTATTCATATATAGTTAGGATTTGCTATTTGATATTTTGGATAATAGACATATTATGATTATTGAATAATGTCAAAATTTAGTAGAAGATTTTATTGACTTGTATGATGTGGAATTAGTTGATGATTTCTCTGTATAGAACCGATATGATACAATGAGTGTGAATATTTCTCCAATAGTCGATGCATGGTGAAAATTTATGAAAAGTGTTTTATTGCTCTCGAATGATAAAATGTTATATTAGTGAAAAATGATGAATAGAGGACTGATGTAAATGAGTATGCATGTGAAACTAAAGTTGTTTATATTATCAAAGTGGAAAGAGAAATGCTGATAAATGTGTGTTATGTGAAAATACTGAGAAAGTGAATGTTATGAGAAATGTTGAGACTATGTATAGATAGTTATAAAGATACACTGGATTATAGAATTCAGATATGATTTGAAAAATCTTAAAAAAATGAGGGTGGTGATTACCATTCTTAAGTGGGTGCACAATGATTTGCCAAAAATGAAAGTATCACAGTCCATACACTCATTTCTTTACTAGACTCTTGACTATATCTTTGCGAAAAGGGGCCGAATCAGCACACGTTGTATCCGTATTGCTAAAGCTAACCAACAACTATTTATACTTGTGGAAAACCTCAAGGGATCCAAAGAGCAATAACCATGAAATTGTGAGATGTGTGTTTGTAATAAGTGAATTATAACATATTGATTGGTGTGATTACAATACAGGTATTGTAATACATCGACAGGTATAATTATAATGCATGTATTGTAATGCATTAATTAATATAGTTATAATGCACGTATTATGAAGCACTGCTCAATGTGAGAATGCATAAAATGATATGAACCTAGTGTGTATTTAGAAGTAATGATGATATGATTGATAATCTATTTAATCTGTTGTAACATTCGCTAATATGATATATGAATTGCTAATATCTCAATATAAATATATATTATGTGATTTAAAGTATGAATGATACGATTGTTGCTATTGTGATTTTATTAATGTAACATTGGAACTAATTCTATTTATTATATTTGGCACAAAATTACATTTCCTATTTTATTTTGAATATTTTATAAATAAAATAATTAGTATGACGGGAATACTCACCCTTACAAATTATTTTCTAAGAAGTGAAATTGAAGAATAAAAAAAGGTAAATTTGTTCTAAGATCATCTTCTCTGTGAAGTTATAGGAAAGACTGCTTTATTAGAATTTAATTATTCTGAAGATTGTAAAATTTTTAGTTAGCTTCAATTATTTTTTTAAATTGATAAAGATATGTAACTATTTTAATACCAATTGTAATATTTATGATACTCAGAAATCCTGTAATCATTAATTTGGAGCATTTGTAATATTGGTAGTTGGCCATTTGATTTTAGATACATTAAATTTTGGATAGAAAATTTACTCTACTGAAAGGCAGCATAGTTTATGTTTTGAATCTATACATACATATTTTGAATTAGATCAATAATGGAGATGTATATTCTAATTTCTATTTTCAATCTCAACGTTTTGAAATTATTGTTTTTAAATTTTTAATTACCTCTGTGTTTTCATAGGATAAGATAACGATAATTTTTTTCTTTCAATTTCCCTCTTTATTGAAATCTCTAAGCAAGAATTTATACAAAATAGCATTATTAATTTTTTTTATTCACTATAAAATTTTATTTTTTCTGATAAAAATTAAGGATGTTACAGCTTACAAATAATATAATGTACAATAGGGTCACCACTGATCTTATTAAGCTTCGCCTTTTCCTACTCTCTTTCATAGAAAAGGTGAGTGCATGGTTTGTCACGCTTCCAGCAGGCTCCATCACAACATGAGAATAGCTGACTCAACAATTTCTAAGAAAATAATTTTACCCATCCATATTAGCTTAACTTATGATGGAAATTTTCAACAGTGCTAATTGGAATCCCTATTTGAAGTGTGGGACCAATTTGGAGAACTTTTGAGGAGGTGTCCTCATCATAACTTTCTTGTGTGAAGACAGATGCAAACTTTTTACAGTGACTTATCAGCCTCTAGGGCCATAGTTGATGCAGCAGTTGAAGGAGCCCCATGAGAAAAGATCCAAATGAAACACGTAAACTAGTAGATAAGATGGCCTTTGCCAGTTTTCTGTGACACACAACTAACTAGGGATGTCCACGGGTCGGTTTGGTTTAGATTTAGGAGGAAAAAACAATTTGAACCAATCAAAATGGATTTGTTTGATTCATATTTGTGCAAAAATATTTGAAAATCTAAACCAATCTAAACTAAACACGAATGGGTTGATTTAGTTTAGAACATCAAATTGTCTGATTAAATAACCTAAAGCAAAAAACTGTATAAGAAAATAAAAAAAAAAGTCATTTTTTATTTAAATAATTCTTGACACATAATTTTAACATAATTACACAACATTTCAACACAAATACACAAATTCAAAACAAGTCTCAATTCTAAAAAATAAAAATAAAAATAAACAAGTCTCAGACATCTTTAAAGCCAAAATAATTCAAATAGTACAATAACATAAATACTTATTCTTTATTTCTTTGCCGTCTTTTCTTCATCCATTCTTGACTCTTCACCACCCTACAATATAACACTTAGTTAGCAAATAGTAGCTAATTAAAGAAATATTGGAATTCATCAAGTAATTATATTTTCAAATATAACCTTGAGCTCAAGAAGTGGATGTATTGGGTTGAACTTGAACATCTA